AAGCTGTCTGGAACAATAATAAAGCAGTCTTTAAAAAATAAGTCTAATAATTTGAACATTCTATAGACATGTATAGTTATTGACTTACCTCCTTGCAGCAAACAGCAAACAGCAAACAGACTGATTAACACAAGGGAAAAAAATCTGCCTGTGCCTCATAGCAATTTGCCTCCTGTAGCAAACAGCAAGTTTCACTTTCAATTTCAGCATGGGCCTCCCGATCATCAGCTGTTTCAGGCTGCAGGGATTGCTATAGCGTATTGCAGCCTCTGCAAGCCCTATTGTCCCCATTTGCTGCAAGGAGGTAAATTGCTGGGAGACAGAGGTCAAAGGATTGGGGGCGGTGGGTGGGCGGGGCTACTTTCAAAGACGCACCCAAATTTTCATCCTCTTTTAGAGAGGAAAAAGGTGCGTTGTATACTCCGAAAATACAGTAATAGGCAACTTGTAAGCACATATGGAAACCAACACTAAAATATGTTGGATGGGTTGGCCCTTCCTTCTTTCCTTCTATCAAAACATTTGTGAAGAGTCCTGGAACTACGTCCAAGACACGTTAAGGTAGGTGGCATTTGAAACTATCGAAAAGGATCTCAAATCATGCCATCCAATGTGATGCTTGGTGGGTTTAACGGTCCATTCCTGAACGAATCTACCCTCCAAATCAGCAGCAACAACCATCTCAGAAATATTTAAGCAAAGTTCTGGACAAAAGAATAGATTCCCATGATCAGTCAATGAAATCATCATTCTTGAATTGTAAGGACATTAATGAGATATAATTCATAGAAGAGAATTTGAGAGAGAAAGAAAAACAAGGAATCCATCCTTGTAAAATCATTGTCTGTGATCTTTGTGACCGAGTGGACCTTGTGATACAGTCTGTTGTATCATTTTCATAAAAAGAAGAGGTCAAGGAAAACCTATAAATGACTGGAGTTTGGCTGCTGGACAGCAGGTGGCAGCATCTAGCCGATCTACAGAAGTCACCACCTAAGTTTGCAAATTAAAACAAGAAGCTGTTTGTTGAAAATCTGAAAATTTCGAGAGTAATACTTTCTCTTTTTCCTCTAGTACCATTTCTTCTGCAAATCACTGCATCACCTGTCACATCATTCCAAACTGTTATATTTAGTTTTTCATCATTTATAATTGGTTAAAATCTTTAAAGAGGACCATAAATGTCTCTTTAGCTTCTTGATGGCCATCGATGTCTCAACGGTATAAACACAAAATTTCAGATAAAAGTAGCTTTAGTAAGACCATACCTAGAGTACTGCATCCAGTTTTAGTCACCACACTATAAAAAAAGGTGTTGAGACTCTAGAAAAAGTGCAGAGGAGAGCAACCAGGATGATTAGGGGACTGGAGGCTAAAACATGTTGAACAGTTGCAGGAACCGGGCATGGCTAGTCTAGTGAAGAGAAAGACCAGGGGAGACATGACAGCAGTCTTCCAATATTTGAGGGGCTGCCACAGAGANGGGGCGATATGCTGACTCTGTAAACCGCTTAGAGAGGGCTGAAAGCCCTATGAAGCGGTATATAAGTCTAACTGCTATTGCTATTGCTATTGCTATTTAGCCAGATAAACGTAGGTGAGAAATTGTCAACGGCAAGGATCACGGTGGGAGGGGAATGTCAGATCGAAGGCAATCGTCGTGCAATGTTTTTCTGCATTTTTGTTTTGCAGCCCCCTTCCTCAAAACAGCTATGTTGGCTCTCACCTGATTGTCTGGAAGTGAGAGGAAATAAGATTTTAAAGCTCGTGGGACTCAAACAGCACTGGGAAACTATTGCAAAAATACAATCTAGACACGCAGTCATTAAATTTAGATTTAATGCCCACATAACTCTAGCTGTTGTATATTTGTGCTAAAATATTAGAAGGGTGACATGGAATTGATTCATTTATTTTTGGAGTGCCCTGTAAATATGCAGTGTTTGGTTTTGGGATTATTGCTTAAATGGAACTTCAGCTTGTTTGTGAGTCACTTGACCTGTAGCACAATTTTTGTGGCCTTAGTTGTTTGACCTTTCCACCAGTGCTTGCTTGCTCTACTTGAGAGGTTGTATTTTGCTTCTGTAAGTCGGAAAAATCACCCTGAAATTTTTATTTCTGTTTTTAAGCTTATTTTGTCTGCCGTTTTAAGTAAAGAAGGCAGGAATGGGCATTTTTAAAACTGCATTCAAGTTGGATTATTTACAGACCTATTTTCTCTTCTTCAAACACCTTTCCACCCTGTTTAAAGGACAGCTCAAGTTTGCTTTTCAAATAAAGAGAATGTATATTTAATCATTCGTGTATTAACCGCAGCAAGAATTGTTTTTGCATATTGGAAAAATGCAGATTCCTATGGATGAGAAGATGATAAGGAAATTATTAGAATGTGCAGAAATGAACAGATGAACATTAGCGGTTAAGGAGAAAGAGAAAAATTGAATTATATGATTTGGGAGGTATTTTACCAATGGTTGGAGAATAAAAAAGGAGTTTGGAAATGAAGAAGGCTAAAAAATAAGTAGACAATATATTTAGATAGAGTTATAAATAAGATGAAAACTGTTACCAGGTGTATGATGAGAATAATGGTGTTTAATGTTAATACGGTATCATCACTAGAAGATATTAAGAAGAAAAATGGAGAGTTTTATAATGTTTAAATGTTTAATATAATACTAAGATTAGGGAAATAGTGTTAATATTAATGTGAAAGATGTGGCAAATGAGGAACGATGTGGCACAGGGGTTTGTATCCAAACAACACGCTGCAAAAGGAAAGATGGAATGTTTATTTTTGTAATTGAAAAGTAATAGTAAAGTCTTTATTTAAAAAAAAGATTTTAAAAGGTAGCCTCTTTGGTTAAACATTTTTCCCTCCTTGAAAATTTCAATTTTATTTTGTTGTTGTAGAGAAAAATAAGAGAAGGAAGGAGTATAAGTATATTCAATGCCTTGAGTTATTTGTAATAATAATAATAATAAAGGTAGGATACAAATAGTTGAGATTGCTTACATTTGAGGTGATTGACAGATGACATTCCTGTTTCTGTGGGATTTTTCTCCTTCTAGATGGCAGTTGTGAACTCCCCCAGCCCGACCCCAGCTGCTGCCCCTCCCTGGGAAGCCCAATTGGGGGGAGAAGATCCTGGTGCTGCAGGGGACTGCAGTGCAGAAAACCTCTATTTTCAAGGTAAAGGTGTTGCCAGAATCCCCCAGCCAGCATGGGTGGGCTTCAACTCCCTGGATCTCCCAGCCCAACAGGCACCAGCTTAGGGGGACGCTGGGTGCCAAGAGGAGGCTCAAATTTGGTTGTTGCTGGTCATTTGGGCGAAATAGCACCCAAAAGTAAATCAGAGTCCAAGGCAAAGGATTGCTCAAAGTTCTAATTTATGAAGAGAGCCACGTTGGCACATCTGGGAAAACCCGAATCTGAAAGCTTTCAGGTTTTCCCCACCCAGTTGAAAGTTCAAGATCTTGCCCCCCACATCCCAATGGTCCAATCTCCCACTGCCACGCTGGCAGCTTCCACCCATCCAGTTCTGGTCAGATGCAAAGGTGCAGAGACAAAGGATGACCTTGGCTTTCTAGAAAGAATGTTGTTATGGCTACGTAGCATCTAACTCCGTGCAAATTCCCCTCCTATTTTCCCACAATAGGAAATGCATAGAGTGTGGCAGGCCAAAGATCCGAAGGAAAACTGCAGGCCTGATATTGGGGGGTGGTCCTTCTTCCTTGGCAGGCATGGAGCTGTTTGAAGAGGCCCTACAGAAGTGGGAGCAGGCCCTGACTGCCCGTCAGAGGGACCCCTCCAGCCTCTCCGCCTCCTGGGTGGTCCCCAAAGAGGAAGAGCTGCTGCTACCTGAAGATCTCTGTGAGGTACGGATCCTTCAGCAATTTGGGGTCTCCTGGAAAACGTCACGTTCAGGAGGGGCGGCTGCCCCATAGCGTGACCCATCAAAAGCGCGGAGGACGTTTGACATCATCACAGCG